ATTTTGGTCATGTTGTAAGAAGGGACCTTTCCCTGGAGAAGGATGTCATGCTTGGTAGGGTGGAGGGTCGACGAAAGAGGGGGAGGCCTTCAGGGAGATGGATTGATACAGTGGCTGTGATGATGGGCTCGAGTATAGCATGGATTGTGGGGCTGGCGCGGGATCGGGCAGTGTTTTCGTTCTGCAGTGCATGGGGTCGCTATGAGTCGGAAACGACTCGACGGCACTTAACAACAACAACATCAATAAAGGGCTATAGGGCTCCCTTGTTAATTTTCGTAATTCTTCTAAATGGAAGGGCTGAAAATAGCATCCTAAAGATGTTGGGAACATGAAGAGGGCTACAGAATGTTCCCTTTTTTGAAAGATGGCGCAGTCATTGCTGTCAGAACTGGAGTCCTTCAAAGTTTCTGTTTGTCCTCACAAGGATGCCACTCTCTTTTGGCTGTATATACTAGCTCTTTGCTACTGAGAATTGCATAAGAAGAAGAAACAGTCAGTTATAAAGAAATGTAAGACAGAGCAGTACTAAGGATAGTGCTAATACAATTTTGAAATCAACATTTCTTTTAATAGATTCATATTACTTAGTATATGAATGAAGATGCACATTATAGGAAAATATACCAATACCCAGCTGTCTGTTCTATACAGTCATGCTTCACTTAATAGTCTTAATATATTTTTCCACAATAGTGCCCTAGCAACGTTGTACAGACATGCTATAGTGAGCAACTTTTCTCAATAACAAAATGAAGTATAATCACAACTCTAAGTCTGTGCTGCAGGCTTCCTGTCTCACGCTACTAAGCTATAACCCCTCACAGAGAAAGACTCAGTAGATCTAGTGCCCAGCATGCCCCTTGCACTCATTTTTCAGACAGTAGTAAGCTCATAGGGACAGTGGCAGAATTCTCAGTTCATTCCAGAGACCCAGGTTCAATTCCTGACCAGTGCACCTGGTGCATAGCCACCCCCTGCAGTGGAAGCCTGCATGCTGCTTTGATGCTAGACAGCTTTCAGTGGAGCTTCCAGTCTAAGGTGGATTAGGAGGAAAGGCCCGGGCATCTGCTTCCAAGGATCAGCCAGGGAAATCCCTGTGCAGCACGGTTATTTGATCTGCAACTGATCATGGGGATTACCTAGAACGGATAGCATTTTGTTCCATTTTACATGGCGTTGCCATGAGTCAGCCCAGCTCTACCACAGCTAACAACAACAAGTTAAATTCATATAGGTGCATAGTCTTCTTTGGGGGAGACAGTTTGTATTGGCAAGTAGTATTGAAAACCTTCATGAAAATGGATTCCAACAGTGATTGAAAATATTGCTGGTGTACTAATTTTTTGAGAGAGTCAGTGTAAAAGATAGAATAACAGTAGAATCATTTCCATTTTCTTTGTGGCTTTTTATAGTTAGGGAGAAGGAGCTCTGTCAGTGCAGTGGTTAAAGCATTTGGCTACTAACCAAGAAGTTGATGGTTCGAACCTACCAGCCACTCTATGGGAGAAAGATGTGACAGTCTACTTCCATAAAGATTTACAACCTTGGAAACCCTATGGGGCAGTTCTGCTCTGTTTTTATGGGATTGGTGTGAGTCAGAACTGACTCGATGACATTGGGTTTGTTTTGTTTTTATAGTTAGGGAGAATATACTTTCAGGTGGATATCTCCAGAGGAGCAAATAATATAGTCTTTTGCCTAGAGTGTTTCTGTATTAGATTAATGACTTTTTTTTGCCTATTTCTTCAAACGTATTAAAAGGATCATATGGTAGATGTTTGGATCTGACATAGGAAGACACTAAGTAAAGGAGAGTTAACAGTGGTGGTGGTATTTGCTTCTAGAGTGTTTTGTCACAGACTCCAGAACTCACATGGTTTTCACTTTTCTGAAGAGCACCATGCTTGCTCATTCCTTTCTTTTACTCTGGCAGAGGCCATTTAATTTTTCAAAGGCTTTTCACAGGGAAGTCACTACATGTGTTGAGTGGATTTGAATGATCACTATAACCCTGTCAGTTACAGGACTTTTATCAGTAGGTTATCTTTAAAGGTTAATTATTAGTAATCAACGCGCTTTCATTATACGGGGAGAATGTGATACCATGGTTTAAAAAACTCATAGTAGCAGGCAAGTTTTTGCCAAAAGATTAATAATTTCTCTTTGTGCCAGTCTGGAGCTAAATGAAGCAGTTTGAGGGCAAATTCCATTAGTTCACAGGGTAAACAGAACAATGCCACTCTGTTATCCTGCATCAGCCAGGCTTCTGCATGAATTATGTTATTTCTTTATTCTTCATAGATTGCCACTATCATTGTTTAGAAGATTTTAATATAACTTTCTATTAGTGAGTATTTATTGAGGTAATACATTCATGTAAAAGTAAGTAGGAATGTTGAGTTTCTTTTTCTCCTTAACAGGGCAATGCTGATGACAGCTTGTGATCTTTCGGCAATAACTAAGCCATGGCCTATTCAACAACGGGTAAGTTGCTTAGTGATGATTGGTATTCATTAAAAAGTCAAGATAAGAGAAGTCTTAACTCTTAAAAGTAGCTTCTGTAGTAGCTTAAGTATTCATAGAACATTTTTTTTTCTTATTTTTAAGTAGTGTTAAAAAGCAGATAATGGGACATAAGTTTTCCTTTTTAGAAGGTTCATTTGCACTTAACAATATTTACAAGCTATATTAACATAGCAAACACCTAGCTGTTGGTACATTTTAATTCCAGTACTACTTCTGGCTCACTTGGGGATTTAAAAAAATCCTTTTAATAATATTAAAAATTAGAAGAAACAAAATTAGTTTTCTGGTTATTGGCCTACTAAGCTATTTTGCATAAGCAATGAAGACCATAGGCTCAGAAAAATGATGGGAATACATGCCGTGATATATTCACTGTTTTTTGGTTTTTGAGACTGCATTTTGAATCCTTAATTCACTAAGATTATTGACAGTTTGCTGTGGATAAGACCCTGTGCTGCATAGTCACTGAGCCCAGAACAGCAGGCTAATTTCATAAAACACACATGCTGAGAAAGCAGGATCAGAAACCCACTCTATGTTCCAACACTGACGTTTTCCAAGCACCTAGGAAAAGTGGTATTTACATATCTCCCTGTCTGATAATAAATAGGACTAATAAATAGGGTAATTAATAAGGAGCCCTGGTGGCACAATGGTTAAGAGCTCCACTGCCAACCAAAAAGTTGGCAGTTCAAACTCACCCAGAGTCCCCACGAAAGAAAGATCTGGCAATCTGCTTCTGTAAAGATGACAGCCTAGAAAACCCTGTAGGGCCGTTGTATTCTGTCACATGGGATCACTGTGAGTCAAAATCTACTCATTGACACCTAACAACAGTAGCAGCAATATGTCTATGTGGAATAGAGAGGAATGTCTTTTCATATCACCTTTCTTCTGAATCCAACACTTCTCCAGAGAGAAATAAATGAAAGAAGGTGAAGGTTTTTTTGTTTGTTTTGTTTTGCTAAAAAAAGGAAAACTTTTGAGGAGAGATTTATGTAAACAAGGAAGAGTGTGATGCTCTCTTTTGGTCAAGAGAGCAGACTTTGGCCATGGACAACCTGAGTTCAAATCCCACACTGCTCCTTATTAGCTGTATATCCTTGTACAAACTACTTCATCTTTGGACCTTAATTTCTTCATTTATAAAATAGAAACTTATGCCTCATAAGAAGAAACCCTGGTGGTTATGGGGATACCTTCTAAAATAGTTGTGATGTTTAAATTACTTAATACTGTGTGTGCCTTAAAAAAAAAACCTGTTGCAATTGAGTGAATTCTGACTCATAGAGACCCTACAAAACAGAGTAGAACTGCCCCATAGGGTTTCCAATGCTGTAGATCTTTACCTGAGCAGACTACCACATCTTTCCCGATGTGGAGCGGCTGCTAAGTTTGAACTACCAACTTTTGATTAGCAGCCAAATGCTTAATCACTACACCACCAGGGCTTTTTCCTGGTACCTGGTAAATGCTTTTTAACTGTTTACTACTACCACTGCTACTGCTACTGTAACTACTACTACTGCTAAAATGATAATGATGATGATGATGATGATGATGATGATGATAAAGTCCTAAGGGCACTGACTTTTCTTTCTCAACACAAGCAGCTCCCATTCACCAACAGGATCCTTATTCTTTCTTAATACATTTGAGTCTATCGCTAATTTCAGAATGACAAAATACTAAGATTACAAACGGTGATTTCCACTATGTTAATATACTTAAGGAACAAAAAATCATATGATTATGTCTATAAATATAGCAGTGACATGTCAAAATGTAATACTCATTGATGTTAAAAAAATACTCTTTAAAGTAATAAATGCATACCTTATTGCAAAAAATAAATATAAATAAAAACTTCGTGCTAGAGATACTAGCTAATACTTTCAGACAAGTGAAAGAAATTAGAGGCATAAGAATTAGAAAACAAGAAGTAAAATGGTCTATACTTGCAGATAAATGATTAGATATATGCAAAACCCAAAGTAAGCAATGAAAAACTGCTGCATGCACTAAGAGAATTTAATAAAGTAGCCAGTTATGAAATTAAATGTACAAAATGTTACAACTTTCATACAAAGAAAACCTAATTCAAGGATATAATGAAAGGGAAGGCTATAACAGACAATATAATAAAATAAATGTTTACTTGCAAACTTAAAAGATATTTAAAATCTGCATGAGGAAGTTATAAAACACAGTAAAGCACAGAAGTAGACTGAGGTTAATGGAAAGGTACACCATGTTTTTAGAAAAACTTATTCAAAAGTTTAACAATACTGTTAGAGAACCTGTGGGAAAACAAGGAATCCAAAGTATTACAACTCTTTGAAAGTTTACAAGTACTGGTATGCATTTACCATCACTTACAGAAATCTTATCCCAAAGATACCCTGGCAAGAATATAAAAAGCTATTTACAAAGGCTATTCATTTTAACACTGTTACATAATAGCAAAAACTGGAAATAATCCAAATATTCATCAGTATAGTATTGATTAAATATAAATGATAGTGTGTTGATACAATGCAACTATGAAAAATGAGGATTATCTCTATAATACTATAGCATGATCACCAAGATATAATTTTAAGTGAAAAAAGCAAGGTACAGAAAAAATGTGTATGGTATGCTACATTAGGAGCTCTGGTGGTACAGTGGTTAAAGCATTCAGCTGCTAAGCAAAAGGTTGGTGGTTTGAACCTACCAACCACTCTACAGAAGAAAGATGAGGCAGTCTGCTTCTGTAAAGCTTGTTGTTAGGTGCCATCGAGTCGCTTCCAACTCACAGTGACCGCATGCCAGCAGAACGAGACACTGCCCTATCCCACACCAGCTCCATGATCCTTGCTATACTTGAGCTCATTGTCACAGCCACCATGTCAATCCATCTTGTTGAGGGCCTTCCCGTCTTTCATCGACCCTCCACCTTACCAAGCATGACATCCTTCTCCAGGGAATGGTCCCCTCTGACAACAAGACCAAAGTAGGTGAGACGAAGTCTGGCCATCCTCGCTTCCAAGGAGCATCTCGGCTGCACTTCCTCCAGGACAGATCTGTTAGTTCTTCTGGCACTCCATGGTACCTTCAGCATTCTTCGCCAGCACCACAACTCAAAAGCATCAACTCTTCTTCGGTCTTCCTTATTCATTGTCCAGCTTTCACGTGCATACGAGGCGACTGGAAATATCATGTTTCAGGTGCACCTTAGTCCTCAAGGAGACATCCTTGCTCCTCAGCACTTGAAACAGTTCCTTTGCAGCTGACCTGCCCAGTGCTGCTCGTCGTCTAATGTCCTGACTGCTGCTTCCATTGGCCTCGATTGTAGAACCAAGCAACGTGAATTCTTTGACAACCTCAATCTTTTCTCCATTTATCATGATGCTGCTTATTGGTCCAGTTGTAAGGATTTTTGTCTTCTTTATATAGAGATGTAATCCATACTGCAGACTGTGTTCCTTAATCTTCATCAGTAAGTGCCTCAAGTCATCCTCACTTTCAGCAAGCAAAGTTGTATCGTCAGCGTATCTCAGGTTGTTAATGATTCTTCTTCCAATCCTTATACCACGTTTTTCTTCATATAGTCCAGCTTCTCGGATTATTTGCTCAGCATATATAATGCAAAGGTATACCATATTTCTGTTTATTGTATTCCAACAAATAAAGGAATGATGAATTTCAGTATCACCCTTTTGCAAACCCTAAATTAATGGATTGAGGCAAGGATTATTAATAAACCAAAAAACAAACCAAACTCATTGCCATATTCTGTAAAGCAGAACCTTGGAAATCCTGTGGAGCAGTTCTAGTCTGTCCCATAGGGTCACTATGATTATGGCACTAGGTTTATGCTACCATTTATCTAAGAAAGGGATGAAATATGAATATATGTACATACTTGCTTATATTAACAACAACAAAAAAGAAAAAAATAACCCCACAAAAAAAGTAAGTTAATGATTTCCTATAAGGGAGGGAGGGAAGAGAACTGAGGGAACAGATAAAATCTGAATGTTGAATGTGCTTGCTTTATAGATTAGACTTTGGAATTGTGTAAATAGTTTTCATAATAATAAAACTAAACTAAATAAATAAAGCAATCACTTCACCTTGAAAGTAAAAGGAAACACAAGATTTTGGTTGCAAAGCCACAAAGAAGAAACTCTTTCATTCCAAGTAACATTAAAGCATGGTAATGTGACTATGGATCTCTAGTGATATGCATCCTAAGAACAGAAAAACAGTACCCACAAAAAGAAATCTCAAACTGTGTTTAGTATGTAATCATATTATTAATGGTAATTCTGTATTGATATTCAGTCACAATTGTGGGTGATGTGGGGTGAGATAAAATAAGAAATTATGCTGGTATTGCTGAAAAATAGGATTTTCAGCATGAGTGGAAAGATAAAGCTCTAAAATGGATGTGGTTATGCAGAAATCCTGTAGTCCTAAATTTGAACTGGAAGTATAGTATGAAATTATGTTGTATCCTAGCTCTTTTCCCTGAGAAGGCTTAAAGATAATGCCCAACCCATCAGCAGTGAATACAGCTAGTGCTCATGTTGAAGTTCTAAATATTTCCATTTAAAGGAACCGGGGCTCCATGAAGAAGTGGCTGGTTCACATTCTAGAGCAGGAAATAACAAGATTTACAAGATGAGCCTAGAGCAACTTGTTAGGCCAGAAAACAAGAAGGTGATCAAAGACTAAGAGGATTCTGGCAAAAGAACACAGAAACCAGATAATAACCTTCCACTGGCCAAAGATGGGACAATTTGAGCATCAGTAAGGATTGAAGTACATGTAATTTTTAAAATAATAATAATAGTGAAATCATCCATAGCCATCTTTATTGGTGCTTGAGAACCAACTTATCTTTAAAAATGGTAAATAAATAGAGGAGATCAAACATTTTTCCTGCTTTTCTTACATAAACTGTACCTTAACACCAAATCCAAACTCACTGCTATTGAGGCAGTTCCAACTCAGAGCAAACCCCATTGGGTTTCCAGGGCTATAAATCTTTACGGAAGCAGACTGCCTCATCTTTCTTCCATGGATTGGCTACTGAGTTTAAGCCATCAAGCTTTTCTGTAGCAGTCAAATGCCTTACCCACTACACCACCAGAGCTCTTTAAACTGTATCTTGTTGTTGTTGTTTTTGTTAAGTGCCGTCGAGTCGTTTCCGACTCATAGCGACCCCATGCACAGCAGAACGAAACACTGCCCGAT